TCGTGCACAGCCCCCCGTGTGGCACAGGGCAGTGGGGGGCAGTGAGGATCACCCCTCACCGGCAGAAGCAGTGAGTCCAGGGTGGGGGGTTCGGGGTTTTTTTTCTCAAAGGGCCAGAGCTGGCCCGGGCAGGGCACCTGCGAGGGGGCCACGAGAGTGAGGGGAGGGTTGGGGGGCTCGTGTAGAGCCCCCCATGCAGCGTGGGGCAGTGGGGGACAGCAACGATCGTCTCCTGCCTGGCAGCACCTGCTGAGTTGGGCGGGGTGGGGGGTTTAACAAGTGCCAGGAGCTGGGGCAGCCATTGCCAGGCTGGGAGAGGGGCCAGGGATGGGCCTGGCCTGTCTGATTTGGAGATTCAGCAGCAGCCGAATCTCTGAATCAGATTCGGCTGAATTGAATTGGGACAGTAATTCAAATCACTGAATCGAATCACTGTCCCCTGAATTGGCCACATCTGAATCCAAAGTGAATACTAGCTGCTTCGAACAGGTCTAGTCCAAACCTAAATGAAGACATGGGCTGTAGTTCAGAACTGCTCTTATTTTCTCAAAAGGTGTCGCCCTTTGCTTTAGTGCCTCCTGGCATTGCACTGTAAGACTATCACTGCTGGAAGATTGATGGCGCTATTGTCGTTTCATGGCAATACTCCATGAAGTGCAAGAGGCCACAGTCCAGGTCAGGTCTCATTGTTCCAGGTGTGAGACCCAGGTGGTGAAAACATTAATGCTAGTGCAGTCCATGCCCCCAAGAACCTCAAGTTTGATTGGAAGATTCATAATCTTCCCTGTCCTACAAGCAAGACCCAGAAAAGAAACCAGAGAGAGTTTAGTCTTCACGCTCGGTAGGCTTCCACTAGCTGGAGCTAGGAGATATTTCTGGGCCTCTGAGGCAGTCTCATTCATTAATGAGAGATGCATCAGAGTGGGAAGAAATCCTTCTACGCAGCCTGCTTGGAGTGTAATAGAGCTGGTTTGGTGCTACTGAGCTCTGCCTGCCTCTGCTATGCTGCGTGTAAGATCCCTGGCTAGGCTCTGAGCCTGGGCACAATTTGAGTATCACATATGATTGTTGGTGCCCGGTGCCTTTAAAAGGTTCTGGGTTGACAGCCCCAGAGACCAATATCCCCTCTCCAGTGAAGAAGTATGGCATGGGAAGAAGCAGCAGGGAGCCCCAAATGACCCTGCCAGGATGCCCTGGAAGAATGGCTCTGTATATCATACCAGTAATAAGGCAGGTTGCAATTGTCAGTTAAATTGTTCATGTGCACCATCTGGACACATCTCCACTGCTTGGATTCTCTGTTGGCTACAGCTGTGCCACATCCTGTGTCCTGTCTGGTGCTTGTATTGGCTATCATGGCCCCATGCACTGGATCAGGGTGACTTTGTCTGGTGAGCCCAGCCTGCCAGACGCAAACTGACCTCTCTGGGTGAGAGAGGATGCTGCCTCTTTGGTCTTTTCAGCCCTTGATTTCTGCTGAGACTGACATGCCACAAGCTAGTGAGTACCTGCTGTGGGGGTGGGACTTGTATGAGCCCTCCCCAGGTTAACTTGCATCTGCCCCCATCAGCTCTCTATGTAATTAGTTTTCCTTGCTAGACAAGGCCATGCTGGAACAGCACTGTACTGCCTGGGCTGGGCACCACAGTGAGAGAGCAAGGGGTCTTGAAAGTCTGAGCGCTGGACAGTTTGAATTGGGCTCCTTTAAAATGAGTCCATCTGGCCTGTCTCATTGGAGGGCACAGGGACCCTTGCTCTGCTGACATAGTTGCCATTAGCTGAGGGAGCAATGTGGGCTGCAATTGCAGAGAACTGGGGAGTTTTGCTAAAGGCTGTTGTCTCCCCCCCTGCAGAAACAGTTTACTGTTTCCTGGATATTAGGTGTCTCTTTAGGTCCTGACCCGCATCCCAGCCTCTGCCCAGGCTCCTTTCCTTGCTCCTGGTTTCATCCTGAGTTCTCAGAGTCTGTGCACCCTCTAGTGGCAGCTGCCTTCCTTTGCGGCTACAGCACATTTATATAAAGGCAGAGCAGAAAGCAGGCTGGAAACATTGGTGGCCAGAACGTTGGAGCTGACGAGAGGAGCAAGAGAGCAGCTCAGGATTGCCCAGCCAGTGGACCATGGCAGTGAAGCAGCAAGCCCCTTATCTGCACCTGGCGGAACTCACAGCATCCCAGTTCCTGGACGTCTGGAAACATTTTGATGCTGATGGTCAGTAAGAAAACCCCAAAATTCTCTTAATCTCAGCTACTTTTAGGATTATTTAAAAGAAGCCAACACACACTAAATTCTTGATAAAACCCCATCCCTGTGTTGTGTTGCTAGAGCCAGATCTCTGTATGGTTGGGCTTTGGAATGGTGTATTTTCTATCAAGCCAACTGTTAAAAAAAAAAAAAAAAAAAAAAAAAAAAAAGACAACTTTTCCTAGCATGCAAGTTTGATGGGTTGTTTTGTTTTGGGAGAACTAGTAATTGTTAGGAAACTTCTGTCATTGCCCATGACCCAGATAGCAGATCCTGGCACAAGCCACTGAGCGCAGAAATTTTTTGACCCATCTGTTGTGCTTTGATGTGACATTGCCACAAGCATCCTGAACAATGGAGGTATGTCAGCTTTGGTAATGTGCTGGAATTTTGCATGGGAGAAGGACGTGTGACCTTGTGGGAGGCTTTGGTAATTCATCACTAACTTGTGTCAGTCCTGAACTAGTCCTGGGGACAGCTAATATTACATGCTGTCACCCAAACAGCTCCTAACTTCTAGTGTTCCCCTGGTCTTAACTCCAACTCCATGTATTAGAGTGGTTTGTGTTGGTTACGTGAGTCTAGCAACCCTCCTTCTGTCATGTTTTATACTCAGAGAAGACAGGATATGAGGGAGAATAATAATGAGATTTGGAGTTAAATTGAACCTTGAGGTAAGCTAGCACAACTCAGCTGATGGCAGAGGAGTTGCACCTGCTTGCACTCCAGTTGAATTGAGCCCCTGGCATAAAAAGACTCTGAAAAGCATCTCACTTTTGAATGTAGCTTTATCCTCAGTGAGGTCACAAGGAGCTTGGAGTGTGAAGTATTATCTTGGTACCAAGCTACCCTGGCATGATGCCTCCTCAAATGGGGGTGCATTAAAATGAGGTGAATAGTCTGGAGGCAGGATGGCCATTCCACCCCCGTGGTAAATGCTTATCTCTGATGCATGTGCTCTGCCCTTTCAGATGGCAGTTGGCTTCAAAGCTGGGGACCATGAGAGTTTAATGGATTTGGTTTGTCTAAGCCTAGATAGAGGTGAAGATACAACCAGAAAACAAGCCTGGCTTGAAACTTATCCCAATGTGGGCAAAGCTAAAATGGAGCAGAGAGAAACACCTTATGCACATCTGATTTCCTTTCACCCTCCCTGCCTTGCTTCAAAAAGGGGTAGGGTGAGGGGCACAGGAGTACAAAAGGGTCTTAATACAGCACCCAATCTCTCTTCACAGACATATACTACCAAGGGGCACTAGCCCAGGTGAATCAGCCATGAATTTAGCAACTTTCAAATGCTAAGTATCAGGAAATAGTTTACCTCTCTGGCCAGAGAAGAAGCATCACTTCTGAGTGTCACTGCTCTGTGCAGGGTAAATGAGCCTCTGGGACCCCAGATATTTTATTCAGAAGGGAGAGAAAGCTCAGAAGTCCAGAGCTCCTGATATTATTATTATTATTATTATTATTATTATTACTGTTGTTGTTACATTTTTTTTTTAAACAAACTTCTTGTGAATTTCAAGCATGCTGCCTAGCCTGAGGGGCTTCCCAGGGACACTGATCTGTTGGGAGAGAAACCCTCCAGTTCCTGCAGGAGTGTAGGTAACAAGCAGAGAGTTTGATGGGCAGCATCACTGTGATGGTTGTGCAGGCTCTCAAGATACCATGACCTGGCTACTTGGCTGTTCAGCCTGGTAGCCCAATGCCCCTCTCTTCTGCACCTGATAAAGTTTTCTCTCTAGAAGTAATTGCCAGTTAGAACAGACTTGCAGGGAATTGTGTGTTTACCCAGTGTTGATCTCTCAAGGGAGTGGTGTGGAGTGGAGGGGGTTAAAACAACAGCCCTGAAACATCTGGAACATCTAACAAAATCAGCTTTTCCCCCTCTGAATAAATATGTTGTTGACATGTAAACTGTGTAATTTATGGGTGAATCAGTGTATGTGGAGGGCTTCCCAGGACACCTGGGGGCACTTATTTGTCATGACATCCAACCTATTATTATTGTCATGCCAGCTTATCATTAGCCATGTCCTTGCCATAGCATCACCTTGGTGACAGTAATTAGAGCAGAAGGAGAGAGGCAGATATTTGCCTGAAGCAAAGACCCATCTGTAACCACCCGTAAATTTTGGGAGTGGGCTCCAGATCCAAATGCTCCTACTTTTGGCAGTGTTTCCCTCTTTAACAGAAACTTGGTTCTGTAGCAAATCCAGGGTGAGAAAGTGGGTGGGTGTGCGTGGGGGGGTGTGTGTGTGTGTGTGGGTGTGTGTGTGTAAGCAGGGCATTAAAGGGAATTTTCTTTGAGTGAGTTTTACCTGTATACAGCCACCAGACATTTGGGTACTCACAACAGGAGTCATTAAACTTGGACAGGGAAATAAAACAGGATTCAAAGTCCTATAGTAAGAAGCAAGTGAACAACAAGCCCCAGTAAAAAGGCAGGAATCAGTGAATCCAGTAAAGTAGGAATTGAGTAAGATCCCAAGTTAAAACAAAAATTCTCTAACAGTTTCCTATCCTGTTTTATCTCTTTGCATGAGTGGCTCATGCTCTGGTCTTTCAGAAGTATTTTCCTGCCTCATTTTTGTTTTCAGACTTGTCCTTGGTATCTTTCTCTCTCCCCCACCCCCGCTGAAACTTCCTCCCACTGAGACCTGTGAAGAAAACCTCCCCAGATGATTGCATCTCCCTTCAGGGCATGTCAGGGCCCAATTAAGTAATGCCACCTGCTTAAAAAACCCTCTGTGTTCACACCTTGGCATCACCCAGCATGCTTCTGTAAACAAACTGAGAAGCCGAGAAGGGAAGAATTTTCAGGAAACGTTTAGGGAAAGCAATGGCTTGGGTTAGTCTGCTTTTAAATCTCCCAGCATCAGTTTTCTATCTTGACTCGAGACTGTTACACAAGTAAAGCTCTCATAATTATTTTAAAATCAGACAGCAAGGGAAAATATGCTAGGTCCTGACAGCAAAGCATTATTGCTGCCTGAATGAAAATAAGCACTGCTCTCTCTGCACTTGCTGATTCAGTGCAGATTAGGGAGAGTGAGTTGGGAGCTGTCTGCATTAACAACTCTGTTCTGGTTCCTCCACAAAATTTGCAACTCAGAATTCAGCTGCCAAATGTTGATTATGGGCATGGATGGAAGAGGCAAAAAGGACCCAGCTGGTTTCTTACAGGGCAGCCAGCAGCTAGAAAAATCAAGGCATATTCTGCTACCCTTCGTGTCTACGTGACACTGAAGTAACTTAACTGAAATCAGTAGACTTGTTCTGGATTTACACCAGTATAAATAAGCAAAGGATTTAGCTCCACATTTGTACACACAGTGCATTTCATCTGGGTTCACTGAGAAATTAAACATGGAAAGTCACGATGTCATTTCTGCACAGTCATATCCCTGATGAATGCATTTGGCTTCTTACCTCCAGATCTCATCCATTTTCTTCCTCCATGTTGGGAGTATCATGGAAACAAGGAGTGGGACTGAACAGATTCCCATTTAAGTTAGTGGGAGCCTCCCTATAAAGCATCATTTGAGGTTTTGAGGCTAGACGTGTCCATTCAAATTATTTAGCTCATCTCCTATGAAACATTGGCCAGAGACTACATCCAGTGATTTGAATGTGCTCCTTCATGGCAGAGCTTGGGGGACCAAGAGAGTTATATTGAGAGGTTAGGGGGAACATGTTGTATCATCTGCTGCAAGAGAGTCCCCAAGGAAGCATCAGTCACAGTTGCTCTATTCTGGAAGGTGTCATTTCTTTCCTTGAGAGAGATTACACACATAGACATGCATAAGCTATCTGCTTGGCCCTGCCAGGAGATCAGGCTGGCTATGGGAAAGAGACAGGCAAACAAACTCTTGTGAACAAGAATTGTAGAGTGTACTAAGGAGCCGGCCCAATGCACAGGAGTCTGGCTGCTCAGCGCGCCGTGTTTACTCTCGTGCTGGATGAAAATGATTTCTCGGCTCCAGCTGAATGGAAGATGCTTTGGAGAGAGGCACCCAAGGGATTGATTCAAATGCCTGGGGAAACTGAATTAAAACATCAGGTGCAATTAGCAATGTTCAGCTGGCTTTTCTTCTTTTTGTTTTTCATTATCATCATTGTTTTATTCTCTTCCCTCCTTCTTTCTTCCTCCTCTTAACCATGGGAAATGAACTTGCACAATGTTCTTTCCACTCCGCACTTCTCTTTTGCCCTCCTCCTCAGACCCACTCTCTCTCAGGCTCTGCCTGATCTCTCAGGTGATCAGCTACAGGCCTCCAACTCTTCTGTACCTAGGGCCCAGTAACAGATATAAAATATCCTCTCCAACTTCCATTAGCTACTGCAAACTGAGCCAAGGCCCACTGCAGTCAAGGGTGTCTTCCCATTGATTTCAGTGGATTTCTGATCAAACCCATCTTGCCACAGAAGAGAGCTGGCCTCCCAGCTGGATTTTATAGGGTTACAAGAGTACTGTACAAGACAGGTAACTGTCGATCAATAGATGGTTAATAGAACATTTGCCAGTAGGGGGTGCTCATTAGGGCACATCATTATTCAGAGATATTTTTGAACCCACAGAAATGGTTCAGCACTGCTCCATGGACAGTTCTATGTACATGGAGCCCTCCCCATGCCATATGTGTGAATCCATGCTAAGGATTCTCTCCTGTCTGAAATGCTGGCCTGCTTAGTGTTACACTGGTCCAGAAAAACCAGGACACATCTGTGCAGATGGTGGATTCCTTGATGCTTGAGCCTCTTACCCAGCAAAGCAGCTTGTAGATGTTTCTCCTTTTTCCTGGAATGAAGAGGGGAAGCCCCCTGCAGTAACAGAAATCCTTGGCCAGAAGGCCAGCCTTGCCTGTAACTTTCAGGATGCACTTGCTGTAGAGTGGATACAGAGAGGACCTTTTCTTCCCACTCCCTATGGAAGAACATCTGGTACAGTGGACCTCAGTTTGCTA